CGTCCTGGAGGGTCGTATAGCGTGCATCCCTCTCGCGCGCGAAACCTTGGCAGAATGGATCGTCTCGATGTGGTGATCTGGTTGCTCGGTGGCAGGCGGAGCCTGGAATGTTACCAAACAGGGGAGTGTGAACCCAGATTTCTATTTCATTTTCTTAATGTCGGACGCGATCTGGGTAAGATGGCGCTGATATCGTCACCGAATCGAAACGGCAATGGTATTCGGGCACGTATCACAGGGGTGGCAACAACCGATGAGAGGAAGCTCGTTGGCGTCCGAGACAGTTGTCCGCTTCTCGATTGCGTCCAAGACTTGCTGCTGTTGCGGGGACCACACGCGTTTGGGAGCACGAAATAATTGGTTTGCGGTTCTAAGCGACGGGTCTTCATACCCCAACGCGAGTTGTCGCAGCACCTTGGCGCTGGCGTCGATGCGGTTGGCAAAGGTGACGATCCGAGACTTGCCGAGCCCTCGGAGCTCCAAGTCTTCTGCTGCATCGAGGATGAGCTGCTCCACTCTCGCGTCCCAAGCTGCTTTCCGCTCTTCTTTGTTGGGCTTCAAGGAAGCGGCCAGATGCACCATGTTCTCGGCGACGTCCTCTTTTGTTGGCTGGCCAGATATCTGTCTCGAACATATTTTTCTTGAAAGTTGCGGCCCAAGCGCCGACAAAAATGTCCAGCAGCTCGAAGGGGAACTGCATGGCAACGGCGGTCTTTGATGGGCTTGAGGGAAGCGATGTCACAGTAGCAACACCATTCCAAGAAGTTGGTGGTCGTTGGGTTGGGATCCGGACGATGCACTGGCTGCGGAGCGGCTGAAGTTTCTGCAGCATCTTCTTCGTTGCCCGGGTTGAAGTTGCGTGGGTCCTCTGGCTCGTCTTCCTTCGCCTTGCGCTTGGTCGGCTTCATGGTGGTCATACCAGTTGGCCAGGATTGAATTGAAAGGTGTTGTATAGATGTCTGTCGTGGTTAACACTGGAATGGGCGCCTGGAAGTTGATGCACCCGTGAAGCTTGCTAAGATTTTGGATTGCCCGGCCATGTATCTCCTGTTCCAACGGAGACCTTTTGCACAGCGTGCGATATATCTGTTTCCAGATGCTGTCTGCCTGCCGGCCACCCACGTGCTTCGGAATTTGAGGTGCCTTTGTGACGTAGCCAGTCACATACTTCAACAAGGCGTTGTGGCACTTCCCGCCCTGCACGCTGCACCTGAAGATGTTCTCCAGCAGGTCCACCATCGGAGAGCTTTGCTCACCAGTCTTGCCGCTGAGCTGCTGTGGATGTTGCCCTGGCCGCATGCGGAGCCAACAAATCACACGGCCGTGGGATGGTGCCTCCCTTCTGAAATTCGAACTGCGTGCGCCAGTGCTCGATCTCCTCAATGCCTAGCTCGGCAAGCGCATCCCCTTCTTGCGACAGCCAAAGCAAAAGTGCAAAAAAAAGCCAGGAGGGAATCGAGCCCAAAAACTTTTGGACAGCTGGGATCTGAAAGCTACGAGAGGGTTTTTAAAGGCAATCCTGTGCTACGGGCTCCATTGAGCCCTAAATATACATATGAAGTATGTGAAAAATTTGAAGACATTAGGGGGATCGGGTTTCGGGGTCAGGTTGGGGGTAAAGTAGCTTCGGCTTACCTTGGGGCACCCACGGGGTGTCGCTTAAATACTTTTCGGATATACTGCAGCTTAGGATTTGCTTGGGCGTCAAAGTGGCCTAGGCTCACCTTCCTTCGCCTCGGAACTTACGCAAAAGGTTTTCTGGTTTCTGAGCTCACGTGTGCTGGTGTGCTTGGGGCGTTCCTTAGGGTGCTTCAAGTGCGCTTGGGGTTTGTTTAGGGTTTGGCCACCCTACTAGCGATGGCCTCCACCCTACTAGCGATGGCCTCACACCTACTAGCGATGCCTATTGGCGATGGCCTCCAACCTACTAGCGATGGCCTCCAGCCTACTAGTGATAGCCTCCAGCCTACACCAACCATGGCCTCCGACCTACTAGCGACAGCCTCCACCCTACTAGCGATGGTTTGGGCCCTAAGATTGCGCCTTTTCGGCTTGGCTTAGGGTTTTGCTGGGGGTCTTATTTGCTGCCTAGGGCCTCTCTGATGGCTTTCTGGGTATTGTATTGCTGTTGCTGATATTATTCAAACTTACAACGATGTACACGTTAAAAAATGGAGGCTTCCACGCCCTATGGCCAACTTGGATCCTATACAACATGCCATGACCATCTTCAGCGATCCGATGCAGAAGGACATGCCCCAGAAAGCCTACCCCAGGAAGAGCCATACACCCAGCCAAACAAAAGAAAAGGCCAAGCACTGAGACCAAGTGCAGTGAACACAAAATTATGTAAAAAGCCATGCTCTTTACCGTCGCGCGACCCTGCGCAGAGAAATTGCCATTGGAAATCTCAGAAGGGAACTTTTCTGCGAGCCTGCGCAGCCAAAACGCCCAGCTCAGAGAGCGCACCCTGATCGAACTCGGGCTTTTGCACCTACCGTAAGAACCCCTCAGTGTGGACACAGTGTTTGAGGAAAAAAGGAAGCCCCTGCTTGGCAGAAAAGAAGCCCTCGCAGGCAGGCAAAAAGACATGTTCATAGAGAGGACCCTCGTGGCAGGGTGAGCAGAAAAGAAGCCCTTGCAGGGTGGAAAGGAATCTGTGCAGGGCAGAAGGGTTGCACAGCACACACGTGCGCAGAAACAGGGACCCAGTCCGAACAACAACCACCACTTGGCAAACTACAAGAATGCAAACTTCGCCGTGCCACACCTTTTGAGAAGGAGCAAATCAACTGGTCACTTAAGCAACCCAGAAACATCTACAGTAGTCATCAACTGGGAAATAGAAGGCTCTCTAAAGAAACAAAGCAGACGAGAGGGACACCGGACGGCCGATCTCCTTTGGATCCAACACCCAGCTCGGAGCCGCTCCGAGCAGTGCGCCGCTCGGCGGCCGGCTCGGGCACGCGTGGCCTGCACCTTGGCCAACTGCTTTCTGAACTCCTCGCGAAGTGAAGCGTTGGCCCTGCGATGGCCCCCTTTGGTCGCATTGGCCATGGCGGTAAGGGACCTCACTCACTGAAGTGTGTAGGCCCGTAGGCTGTGCTAGGAACGTTGGATTTTTGTTTGGCCTTGATAATCTTGATAGAGCAAACTACAACTGAGGACAGGAGTGAAAATAAAGGTGGAACATGCCTAGAAGAAGATCTTTGATGCTCCGCAGAATCAAGCGCCTCAATGCAACAAATTAACTACTACCTTTGGACCCCGACACCTCTCGGCACATGGGATTTTTCCGATTGGCTCCTCTCGTGAGATGCCACCGTCGGCATTGGCATCGAAGGTCTGCCAGAGCCTTCGCCATGGAAGGTGTGACATGTTCTCCCGTCGCCTGCCTTTGGTTTTCGGTTCGTCGTGTGGAACACTGGTTGTAGGTCGCTTTGAGTAAGCTTGGGAGGATATTGCTTGTTCCAGCAAGGGCTGAGAAAAACAATTGCTGACACACGGATTAGCTTCATTGACACACGGATCAGTCAGCTTCATTCTGGTTTTCGTGCGCATAAGCCACTTCTTACAGGTCGACGTGACGTCGCAAATTCCACACATCTCGTGGTGCGCGCGACTTTGGGACCCGGATTGGCCTCATCAGGTCATCTTCTTTCAATGAAGGCCTTGACTGTCCATCACACACGAACACACAGTCACAAAGCCTTTTCAAGAATGCTTTTGGCTTTGAACGCCAGTTCTTGGATGCTTTCCACCAAGTTGGCCATCCACGGCCATCCACTGGCCCAACTGATTGCCAGAACAGAATGGGAGGCAACGGTTTCAGCTGTCCAGATTCATTACCTCCAAGAAGCTACATTGACTTTGCAAGCTGTTTGCTTTCTTGGGAGTATTAGGACGCTATTAGGTGGAGGCCATCGCAAGTAGGTTGGAGGCCATCGCTACTAGTTACAAGAAGCTACTGGTAACAAGGACCTTCATCCACTCAATTCTGCTACATACACAGGCCGCCCCGGAGCTGCCCAGGACATGTAGAAGAATGGACGTTCTCCATGATGCTACAAGAAGTCAGTGCCGTGTATCTTTGGCTTTTGCTTTTCATGCCGTTTCACTTGGTCGAAGGATTCCTGAGCTCCAAATCTCCTTCGACCACCGAGGTCCACCGAGGTCACCTCTCATCGAGGTCCGAGAGCCGGGCTCCAACTGTCGGAAGAAGTCGTTGAAGTCCGGCCAACGCACTTCGCTTCGACCACCCGCCTGGGCCCGCGCGTACGACCGAGTCTTTTTTCCAGACTGGGCGACCGACTTGCAGACTTGGGGCAGACAGCGAGATTGGTGTTTTGTTGAGCAAAGGATAGCCCTCGTGTTTCGAAGGCGACACGTCTTCGTTACTAGGCGACACCTTCCTTTTCCAACCTTTCTTCGCCCCAGCCCCAACCAAAGCCATGCGAAGCCCGCTCTCAGGGCTCGGCCAAGGCATCGAAGAGATGATCCACCGTCTGGCCCTGGGGATCGGTGGCGGCGCGGCTGTCGGTGGCGGGTGGAACCGGTGCTCCCACGTTCGATCCCAACGTCAAGTTGCAATCCTTCCACATCGAAGAATTCACGAAAGACCCCACAAAAAAGCTAAGACTAAGACTTCAAGCCACAAAATCTTCGTTTGGAAGGCTTCCCGCTTCCCTTTAAAGCTCCTTGCGCAACCAACTATGAGTGAGGCCGGTCAAAACGCCTCCAAACATCAAGCACCACCATTCTTTGCGGCATTTTCTCTGCTGTAGAGGCCAGGAAACCATAGACACAGTAGCACTGCGCTGGCCACAATAGCCCTCGGAGACTCTTGGCATCTCTTTGGGTCGCGAAGCCCCGACTACAAAGAACATGAGGTCCTCAATGGATTGGGTGGTTGACTGAGTCTACGTTGCTACGTTGGAGTCTCGGAAGTCAGCCGTGATGAGACCCCACCCGTTCCTTTGCTTTCGGAGTCTCGCGGAAACTCATTGCGTGATCTCACTCGCCATCGCTGCTTTGGACGACAAAGGCGAGCGCTTACTGAAGAATGCACGATGGAGGCCGAAGATCGCACGGATGGACATGAGGACGTTCAAGCTCCACCAAATGTGAGGAGCGGTCGGCCTTAGCGATGAAATGATGAACTACTTCTTTAGCTCTTTTCGCCTAGGTCAGAGTGGTCCCGTGGTAGAACTCCCAAAACTGGGCAAGAACCCCCAACCCCTATTTTTCGGCATGCCGTACGAACACTCCAACCTCCGTGCGATCAATATTGTTCCCGGCAAAACATAGCTGTCTTTGCGCATCTTCAATATTTGTTCTCTGGGCGCTGATAGTCATCATCCATAGTCCATAGTTCATAACTGTGTCTCAGTGTTGCCCATAGATCCCCATCCCCACATAGTATGTATGAGGATAGAGTTTGATATAGTCCCATGCCTTTCTAGTGATTGACCAGTTGCCATTCACTCAAGCATTCCCAACCTCCTTCTCACTGCTCATCCAGGTGTCTGCACCCGGGAGAGCAGCAGCATCACCAAGATAGCCGCGCTGGCAGCGAAGCTGGTGCATTTGGCTGCCCAGGCGTAGTCCCCCAAACCATACAATACTCCTCTCACGCGTGGTGAAGTGGAACGACATCGGCGGGGGGAGATTTCAACCGTGTTTGGGGCACAACTGGCGGTTTGTTGGTGAACACTTTCTTTCTTCACGTCTTTTTCCATTTGATTTCTTCATAAAAGGGTCCCTTCCAAACCCAAAGAAACGAGGAGACCAGGATTGAGTCGAATGCCTTGGTGAAGGACAAGGCATTACCCCGCACACATCAGGGCTTCCCCTCTTCCTGAGCATGTCAACTCCCACTTGCAGTACTACGGACCAACGGCTGATGTTGCACCTTGTAGGCTGGGGAGATGTTTCGTGTCTTTGAGGTGTCTTGGTGGCAGGGCGTTTCCCATGAAACACCATGCTTGGTTCTCTCCTTTCTGATTTCCTTTTACCCCCGGATGTTCACGTATGTCTCTCGCCCATGCTGCACTCCTTCTGCGACCCACATCGCGCCGTAGATCAAAAGCATGGCCATCGCCGGTGGCACCAGCGTCTCGAAGGATTGGATGACCTTCATCGTGGTCCAAACCGGTTAGATTTAATTGATTTTTAGTTCTAATTTATGTTTTATTTTTTGTTTCTAATAGCGAACATTGTTCCTAGTAGCAAGGCCAGGAGCACCTAGTAACTAGTAGCGTCCTGGAGATGGGCTTTCTGAGTTCCACTTCTCCACGTAAAACAGAACCAAAAACCGAGTTCTTTCCTGAGGCTGTGGATAAAGAATGCAAAAACCGAGTCCACCATGACACATGCACTCACATCACCTGTCCAATGTGATGCCCCATCTTCTGGAACCGACGAGGAACGAGGGAAGTCGCACCCCAAAAGAAAACGCTCTCCATCACCTTCGCTTCATAACTTGCAGTCCGAGATCACCCGAACGCGTATTGAACTTACACTGGGTCCTGTCAATGTGAGCGGCATCTGCTTCCTACAGAGGGGCTCAGGCTTTGAATCGACTGAATAGACGGGATCTCGCGTGTGTAACCCAAGAGTGGCAGTTGCCCAACAAGTCGCTCATCAAAATCACACCCGAAAAGCAATCCACACTTCTCCCCCATACCCACCAACCTTGTGCTTGGACTATGTGACTATTTTAAAAGGAAGGAGCCGGAATCGTCAGATAATCAACCTACTGCCTGTTGGTGTCAAATATTTGGATAGTATCAGTAGCACGCATGAAAACCCACTAAATCACCCAGTTTCCTCTTCAAGCTCCACAAAAGATCTGACCACATCCAAGCACCAAGTGGCCCCCACCCGATCTCCCCCACTTGTTGCCAGGTGGCCAAGAGATCTCTCACCAAAGCCGCCGCAATCGACTCGCGACCCACCCAGAGCGCCAGCGCCGTGGCGGAGGCCACCAGCATGGCCATGCGCATGGCGCGCAGCGCCGTCCAGCGCGCGCGACGGGGCAATCCTTTGGCCACGTCGGCGCTCACCAAGACTTGGGAGGCCAATTGGAAGCCGTACCTAGATGGGCCAAAACAGAGGGACAAAACGGGAGGATTGGGGTGCCAGTGTCTTTGCGGCAAGCTGGAGGGTGTGTGAGGGAGTTGTGTCAACAAAAACATGGGCGCGCTCGCTCTCTCTCTCTCTCTCATTTGAGGATAGATGGATGAGGGCAGAGGGGGTCAGCTCATGATTCCAAAACGCGTAGTGTTGTCGACTTGGAATTTGTTGCGTTGCTGCCTTCGAAAGTTGTGGAAGCTGCCACTTCAACCTCAAAACCTCGCTACTGAATTGCAAGTCAATGAAGCTGATTGGAGACTTTGGGGAATCGCCTCACACACACAAATAGCTATTTTTGGAAGCTCCACAGTCCACGGAGTCTTTTTTACTCCCAAACACGCACTGTGCGTGGTCCACCCCAAAAACGGCCGAACTCAGGAGTTCCGGTCACCAACCGCACCGGTCTTTGGACGCGAGCACATCCAATAGAGGAAGGAGAGGAAGGTCTTGGTCATGCAGGTGTGAGCGGCCAACGGTGCAACACCAATCTTCGTGATGATGGAACAGGCCACCTCAGGTGCACGCTCCGCCGTTGTCTTGTCTGCTGGCAAAACGGCGTGAAGGTGCCAGTCTCAGTGTTGTGCCAGTCTCGGTACTTACATTCACTCGCCATCCAGCCCATTTGTGGAACATCGTGCTTGGGCTACACCAATATGACTTCAGGGAAGCAAACCAGGAACAGGAGTAGAACAAAAGAACTGTGCAAACAAAATTGAGAAGATTGAGCTGATGTTGCAACAGCCTCTGCGTTTTGAGCCATTGCATTCTAGAAACGTAATGAGCATCTATCGCCTTCTTATTATTGGGCAGTTGCTGGAGAAAGGCGAGGAGGCTGACGTTTTCCTGCTCTTTCCGTAGCAACACTTCCAGTTAACATGACGGATGGTCAAACAACCACTACCTTTCGAAAAAGCCATCAACGATCTTGGGCGATGGCACTCATGCAGCCTCTCTTCAGACTTTATGCTGGTTTCAATCCCACATCCAACCCTCCACTTTCAACTCTCCATTTGACAAACATCAGACCCGGATGCTTTTGGGAATTTGGTATATAGACATGATAAGTAATAAAAATAAATATATTCTCCATTAAATTATATAAGAAAGCCAATTATAATTTAATGGAGATAATAAAAGATAGATTAATGATAGGGGGAATCCATCCCCTTTATATAAGTGATCGATAGGCGGGATGGATTCCTGGTCACATCTGGGCCCCTTCTTGGATCTGGGGCCCCCGCTCTTGGCCTGGCGGTTGGGGCCTATGAACCTAAGGACTGTTAACGCCTGGTCTGGATCCTCACTGGTCCGCTGTATTGGAAACCATACACATACAGTTAAAACTATTATAACGACCCATTTGATGTATTTATTTGACCAGACCCATTAGGTATTTATTTGGAGACCACCTTTTGGACCATCCGATGCTTTCCACGCCACCAGCCAGGTCGTCAGCGATGAGAAGCTTCGCAAGGTCATCGCGGCGTTGGCGGCCAAGAGCTTTCCCTCGGTTTGTGTATTGAATTGGGCAGAGCATGGCAAAGCTAGACTTCTTGATAGGAACCTGGCTTTAAGAGGATTGCCAAAATAACATCTTTTATTTCTGTGTGGAGTTGCTCTGCTTGCCCTTGTGGCCTAATTAATTGTGACTCTTGTGGCCTAATTGTGGATGGCAAATCGCTGCAAAACCCCTGCCAGAGCCCGTGGAAACCAAGCGGCCCATCCCTTGCTTTCGCCTTCCACTTCCTTTCCCAGGAAGGCTGTGGCAAAAAGCTTCCGCGGCTGCGGCAGCCATGGCCCGCCCGGGCGCCGGGCCACCATGATCCAGGCGCACACTGCAGAGGCGTAGCAGGAAACCGTGGTAGCCCAAGCAGCACCTGCCAACAACCGAATTGGTCCATTGGCGTGTAGTGGTTCTTTCCGGTTTTGTAATGCATCAGAATTTTGTCGGTAAACGTACGGTGCCATTCTGCTAATCAGTTCCAGGGTTCTTCTGAAGGCTGCCATGCAAACTGATATGGCGGCCTACCGCAGGGCCTACCCCGAAGCCTACCCGGGCCTACCCCTCATCCCTCTCGATGAAAGTCCGCGCTTTGGCCCTTGGCTTTGTGGAGCATGAGGGGTTACAGTTGCTAAGTGGAGGTCACTGTCGCCATGGCGCCCCCACCTGCCGTGCCGCCGTGCATTCCGACCACTGCCAGTGGCGTCAGGACAGCGTTGAGGAAGGCACCCAGCAAGACCAAGCGGAGGACCTCGGCTGTAGAGATCTGAAACACCATCCAAGGTTCATCCCTGGGTGATTATCGACCGTCGCCGACGGCGGTACAAACGAAGATCCTTCCTGCCCAAGGGCATACCAAAAACCCTCCAGTTGCAAAGGACAACTCTCTTTGACCAAGGTATCAGGCACAAAACGTTCACTGCAGAATGCTGCCTGGGCACTGCTGTGGTATCTCGGAAGGCTCCGGATAACGTGGCCTGGAGCTCCCCAGCTCTCTGGGATCGTGACCTTTTTCATCCTGTTCCACTCACTCAGCGGAACAAGTTGTGCACATTGAGAACAAGTTGTGACTGTGTTCCAATTGCGGGTGATGTAGAAAAAAAGTGGCTCTTGGGTGTGTGTTTCCTTTCGAAAGCCGCTCCTCATGCCAGCTGTTTCAGGACTGCCTCAACAGTTGATTCATTCTGTCCCATTCTGACATATTCTGATAGGTCCTGATACAATGCCCCAGACTCATTTCGCCCCTCTCTCTCGCTTGCCTGCAAGACGATCAGCGTCAAAAGCCCGGGCGAACCCCACAGCCGAGGAACCTCGTGGACCACCGGGCGGTCTGTGCATCGGGCGGTCTGTGCACCGAGCAGGCCCTCCGCTTCGGCATCCAGCCCTTTTCAGAAGGAAAGATCCAAGAGAACCCCAACTGACATAGATCCAGCTTAGGGCAAACCCGGAATGGACAAAGTTCGACATGAAACCGAAGAAGCGTGGAACGACACTTTCGAAGCACTCAAGTCGGGTATGCCATTCTTTCTTTTTTCTAACATGGGTTCCACCGTCAACTCTTGGAATGGAAGACTCTTTGCGACAGGAACCTCTAGAGTCCAGTTCATTGGCACTCTCATCTTTCCTGCAATGTGTTCTTTGATAGAAATGGCATGCCAGCTAAGCATGACGAGATACCAGGTAAGCCTTTGCTGGCTCAAGCCTTGGAAGAATCTGGGACGACGCTGCTCCGAGTTGGGACAGCTGGGCCAACCAAAGAAGACCTTCGACTCAGGGTCTTTGTAGGGTCCCAAAACCATGACTGCCACAATGGTGACTCTTGAAACAACATATTCTGTCAACAAGAATTCTGTCATGAGCGGAGCCTCGTCCACTGCAGCTTGAACTGGCCACATCATCGGTTGGAACTGCTAACTGATCGCTCAAAAGCCATCAGGGCCAACATTGCCACCCAAAAAGGTTCACTTCGGTTCACTTCCGATACTCCCCAGTAGCAGTTCAGCAGTCTTCCGGGCATGCTCATCACTCGGTCCACTTGGCAAGCGTTTAATTCACCATGTTTTGAGGAAACTCAAATGGGCATGGCTGGATAAAGGACCATCTTCTCTCTGATTCCCTCGGTTTCACACTTTCACCCTGCTCTTCTTTTCCGCGAAACCCGGTTTTACCCGCAAAGGGTCTCTTACTAAGGTCCCTAGACAACTGGACGCAGCGAAGGGGATGCACTGATTCACTGATTCTCTCAATCATTCAGCTCCCTTTGTTTAACAAAGACCCCTGCCACTTTGCTGCTTGTCTCTTCCTCCCCTTTCTCTTGCCAAGGTGCAAGGGGGACGAAGCCTCAACCGAGGAGAGTCTCAAGAGAAGCGGTGCCAGCACTGATCCCATGAGTGCCTCAGCGCCGCTTCGAACTGCGAATCGGTCCTCGGTCCTGCGAAGCCGTCGCCTTCCGTTTGCCAACGGGTGGAGAGATCAACGGATGTCAAGGGAGTGGAGAGTCACACAGTTTGGAGTATCATACACTCGTTGATCTGCAGCATGAAAGAACAACTGCACCGCTGTGACGCTGCACATCCAAACAGCACACCACTCAGTGGGTATTCAGCCATGGCCAAAGGAGGGTCAAAGGACCGAGTGCCCTCGAACACTTGAACCTTTTCCACAGCCATCTCAGCAGCGAGATGCCGAGATCGTCTTCCATTGGAGCGACGGCCTCCACCCTAGAAGCGATGGCCTCCAACCTAGCAATGCCCTTGTTACTAGTGGCTTCTTGCTCCTAGTAGTAAGGCCAGGAGCCCCTAGTAGCGTCCGATCGCCTCCCAGTAGCGATCCCTTTGCTCCTAGTAGCTTCTTGCTACTAGTAGCAATGCCCTTGTTACTGCAAGCGATGGCCTCCAACCTAGGAGCGAAATTCATACATTAGAGCTAGCCGCTAAGCCCATGACTCCATGACGCCAATTGGTCCACTCTTGCTGCAGAGAGACGACAACCAGACCCACCCGCCAGCAGAAACACAGTGCCTGTCCGCAGATCGGGCTAGCTGGAGTGTGGAGGGGCCTGTTATCTTGGTCAAAATTGTAGAGAACACCTTGAACAATGCATATAATCTGCTACAGAATCTACGACATGTATAGTTTTGGGTGTCGATATGATCTAGACATTTCCAACGTCTCACCAATCAAATGCTGTTGATATCTCCAGTATAGCATGATCATCCACCGTTTCTGTCCACTGCAGTGGCCGCCTGTGTTAAGGTTTGCAGGACATCTTGCGGCTTCCTGGGCTTCTTGTGGAGTGAGAGGGAAGGAGACTCTCTCAGTTACAAGCAACAAGAAGGTTTTGTCTTAATCATCTTTACAGATTCCAAGAATAACCCGTTTTCCAAGGATTTCCCCTTGATATCCAAAAAGACCACGACCTCCTCATATTAATATGGCCAGGCTTCTTAGCGGCCACCGCCTCAGAGGTCAAGGATCTCACCGGCACCTGGACCGTCTTCCTTGGGAAAGGAGGGGGCACAGCGACAGCGGCCGCTTGGATGTGCAGCACGACGTGGATGTCGTGCATGTTAGGATAAAGAAGGGCACATACATGGACACACATCAAGAGGGCAGTGGTGTCAGAGAAGACTGGAACAAGGAGGAGCAAACCAATGTCGACGACCTGGTCCTGGTCGCCAAATGTAGAAACAATAAGCTAGTAGAAACAAGTGCCACGCTAGTAGGAACAAGTGCCTTACTAGTAGTAACAAGAAGCTAGTAGGAACACTGACCTCCGTGAGATTTCGTCCAAGTCCGTCTTCTTTCGAAGCGCGTGCGCCAAGCAGAGCTGTACTGCCCAGTCGAGTCGTGCTGTTTGCACCTTGCTAAACACGATGCAAACCAACCACATCTCATCCAAATTGGCGTGGTTAGCCAAGCCGTTTTGACAAGATCCCCGTGAGCGAGCTACCGCACTTCCATCCGTGTGCTCATAGACGGCTACAGTCTAGAGTCAGTTTGATCTATCCCTCTTGTGCTTCTGCTTGTTGTCACATCATGGCATGGTTGTCTGCCCACACCAACTTGAGTACCATCTTGTTTTTCTCCACACAGCCGGAGAACCAGAAACTGTTGGATGATCACCCGGGTCCCCGGCGCAGAAACCGGGGACATGGGCAAACCGGGACGTTCGGTGTTTCGACCATTTCGCAGTGGTCCAATGCCCATGTGTCAGTGTGTTCAAGCATCGCTTTCATGTCCTCCCGGAACATTCCGACCCGCAAGTCTGGAGAAAACGTTCCAAAGCTTAGCTGATAGGCGTGGTGTCTATGCCAAACGACCCACCAACATGTTTGAGTGGATGAAACGAACAAACAACAGCCAATCTGTGGCTTCTCCTTTCGGCCAAGGTGCAAAATGTCAAACATCCAATCCTCACGGTGCAAAGACTCTCCAAAACTTCACGGTCGTGATACAAAAAACCCAAAGACAAATCAGGACGCTGGTGGTCTCGGCGTCGGGGTTCGTGGTGCCCACAGGTTTTCGCGCTTGAAATTCAGCGACGCGGTTGCTGTCCAGCAAACTCATGCTCGGAATCCCGTTCGGACGATGGAGTTGTCGAAACAAATCGCTTAAGACAACAAATCCCTCATGTCGCTGACACGTTGAAAAGAGCTTAGCGAATGGAGCGGATGCAGAGCGATGATCCCTCTCGCAGTGGACATGAATCGTCATTGAAAGCTTTCTTGGAAAACAGAAGGTAGTAACAAGTGCCACGCTAGTAGTAACAGGTGCCTTACTAGTGCTACCCCCCCCGCGCGCGCCCGCGCGCGCGCGGGCGATAAGGTCCTAGTAGATTCCTTTGCTAGTAATTATAATTCTAATTAAATTCTTATTGTTACTAGTAGTAAGGCACTTGTTCCTAGTAGCTTCTTGTTACTACTAGTAAGGCACCTGTTACTACTAGCGTGGCACTTGTTACTAGTAACAAAAAGCTAGAATTAAATGGACCAGCGATGTGCGGGGATTTCGATGCCCCACCGTCCCTGCGCGGGTTTCGACGTGGCGCGACGCGCTCCGACCGGTGCCTCCACGTTCAGTGCTGGGCCCAAGGCCGCGAGTGCCACCATGCCCAAGCATCTGAGCAGTTCGCTGTGGGCTTTGACTCGAAGAACTCACATGTTTGGGGATGTTGAATGATGTTGGCGTCCAACGAACATGTTGAGGGCTCGAAAAACAAGAGGGCTGGCAGATGACCATGCCCAAACAGTTTCTTTTCCATGGATTCCGACCCGGCAGCATGATAAACATATTAACATATCGCTCATGCCTCGCACCATTTTGTATCTATGGATGTGCTGCATGTATTGCTTCCCCAGAAAAATATCAGGCGTTGGAACATGTTTGTCTATCAGGTGGACGCGACATGTTGCTTCCAGCTAACAAAGAGTCGAGGACTTCGTCCATGAACCACACTGAAACACAGAAGTCAACCAAACCAAGTTGCTCACCAACACAGACCACATCACACCACCAACATTTCTCCAAACCAACCTGCAGGTGATTCTCAGATGAGGTTGAAGGCCATCGCTAGTAGGTTGGAGGCCACTGTCAGATCATACTTCAGACCTCCCTACCCTGCCCACACACTCGACGCTCCATCCACCGATAAATCCCCAGCCCCGCGTTCAGCGGGGCTTCGTCCGGCCTGGAGACCCAGTAGGTGTCCAGCAGCGAGAGCACGGGGTCAATGGAGGCACCCAGCACCGCTGGCCAAGCCAAACTCAGGATCTCTCGGTCCCGTTTCCGGTGCCGCACCTGTTTCGTGGTGGGATGGTTCTTTCCCACGAAACGTGGTGGTGGGTTTCGCGAAACGCACCGCACGTTGTGGAGTGAGACGTCGTTCTTTTTCTTCTTTTCTTGTGACTTGAGTCGAAACAAACCAGACACAGACTGTTTCAACATGTCTTAAATTTGAAGATAGATCTGTTTTCACCTGCATGTGACCTGTGGTTTGTCCTTTTTAAAAAGAGGATTCCGCGGCGTTCCGCGCCTCCACGTCACGCTTGGACCTCAAAACCACGGGTCCTCGACTCCTGGGATCCGGAGCGCGAGATCGAACGGGGTGGAGTTCCCATCGCGAGGAACGGAGATCTTCGGTGACGTTCGGTGATGACACAGGACGAGGTGACTGACGCAGATCGATGGAGATTCAGCCTCTTTGGCAGGTTGCTTAGTGCAGGTATCATGTGGCGTTACTGATATGGTATGGTTTTCTGGGCTAGGCGTCTCGAAGGACCAAGTCCTAACACACATGGGAAAGCAGCTAAGCCACCTGTTTGGTTACTCAGAATGATCAGAATGTAGGTTTGCTAGTTTGCCATGATTTTTGCTAGGTTCCATTCTCTCATTTTCTCTCATTTCACCGATGTTTTCGTGCCTCTCCTTGGGAGCACAGGTCCCGGTCGCAGCAAGCCACCGTGGAGTGGAGAGCGGAAGGGCAAGTCCATGACTCGGACCGCCAGAAACCACGGAAACGACGACGAGCACGACGGGTTGCGCGAAGGACACGCGTTCCATAGACTCATCGAAAACGCGATTGCTGACTCACATGAAGAGGTTTGGAAACGAGGTCTGACTCGCAGTGGCCGCGTCTCCACGCGTCTTCGAAGTTGAAGCGGCGCAAGCTCCGCTCCTTGCCAACCTGCTTGACTTCTGACGTGTGCCTGGCAGATTCTTGTGCAGAATATCAAGCCTGTCAAGCCAAACGGCTTCATCTCCCGAAGTTGACAAAGTGTCCCTTCAGTTCTGAGACACATGACTGGGATGATAGTCAAGGCCTCTCTTGGTATCTCTTGCTTTTCGGTGCGTTCCAAATTGTTTGGTCTGGTGGGGTCTGGGAAAAACCTGCAGAAACCGCGTCCTTCGTGACAAACATCAAACTCATTCAAACTGATCGGGGACTCGGTCGACCCGAGGGGCGATTCCAACTCTTCGGGGCGAGCAACGAACGCACCTGATCGAACATGGAAAAAAACACCTGATCGACCAATCGCAAAGTCTCAAGATAAGGGTCCTGGAACCCCAAACAACCAGAAAGAAGTGGATGTTTCCCCAAACAACCATTTCCCATGTAAAGGATGTCAATTGCCATATTGGAACAACCATTTGTTTCTGGTTGGAACTGGGTTTCCAGGCAGGATTAAGGAGGTAGTGAGTTACAAAGGCCGCTTTCGGCGAAAGATCGCAAGGACGTGAGAACTGGTGTCGGTGTCTGACGACTGACGATGGTCGAATTCCAACCCTCAAATCAAACGACACGGTGAATGAAGAATTCCCTGAGCCAACATGGTTTACACAGTAAACTCTCAAGTGATAAGGACGTAACCTCCACCAGGACAATGGTAACACATGGAGGCCATCTCTGGTAGGTTGGAAGGAAGGGGACCATGGAAGGGAACCCAACACACTACCCAACACTTCTTCCCAGCCTGTCGGGTCAAAGCGTCGGCAATGCGGGCACAAACGTCCTGTCTTCGGTAGCAATCGGTGGGGTGTAGAAATCCGACGTGGATGATCAGCTGCAGGAACATCTGGAGACTGGCTACGATGGGCTATGGGCTATGTCGCAGCACCAATTGTATCTCCTGCTTAGCTTGTGAACTGAGTGATTCAAAGGGATCGCTTCCTGCGTTACATCGAAACAAACCACGACAGCGCCGACAGCGATATCAAGCGACGACATCCGATCCCTGACAGCGTCGCTCGCCCTGCGAGACCAAACGACCCGGTTCACTGGTCGCGTGTTTGCCCACTTCCGAGCGGAGCTTGAAGCTCCTGGAGGTCCACCGGAGGAGCCTGAAGGACTGAATCGTTTTCAGTGCCAACCTCCAACCTACTAGCGATGGCCTCCAACCTATGTCATAGAGATGGCCTCTAACCTACTGGCGATGGCCTTCAACCTAGTAGCGATGGCCTCCAACATACTAGCGATGGCCTCCACATCAAAGCAAATCGCTTTCTAACCAAAATCAGTAGAATCGACGCGTGAAGAAGAGTCGGAGCTGCCTGTCAAGTTGTGGGAATGGGATGAGCATGGTTTATTCGCCCATGCAATTGGTTCTCTGGTTCATTGGCAACACCCAAGTGAGATGAAGACTAGAGCCACGCGGGGACCTAGAGCCAACTGACCGAGCCACAATCGAGGATCCTGAAAGAAGGGCTCCGGAGGGGTTGGATGTGGCGCAACTTCACTTCGCGCCTTCAAAGAAAAGAGACGAAAGACACTTCTTCCACTCTCTTGACATCTGGAAGCTAATAGCGTCCGAACGCTACTACTAGCTTCTTGTTCCTAGTAGTAAGGCCAGGAGCTACTAGTAGCGTCCGATCGCTCCTAGTTAGTAGCGATGCCCTTTGTTCCTAGTAGCATCAGCCAGCAGCCCCAGACATCTTAAAAACACTGTCCGGCCTGTGAGGCTACAGGCGGCCTCGGCAGTAACGCACTGAAGTTCAAGGTCCTTCTTGGTTCAGCTTCGAGAACCAAGAGCTAGAATGGCGGGTCTTGGTCATACCGAGTCATACCTTTTAACTCAAAACATGACTAAAAGCGCTAGCCGCTGAAACCTTAAAGCTTACTGCAACCGCTGCAACCGTCCACATTCTGGACATTTCTGGACAAAGAACTGGGTGCCCAACTGAGTGACACGTTCCGGCGCGCTGATCCCCACCGAGGAGAGAGCCTCGTGAGAAGCGATCTTCGACAAGGAACATGGTCGAACGGTCGACAAACCCGGAACCGATGTTCGCCAGAAAGGAGTCAAACACTACAGGGTACTTCTACAGATGCACACTGGCTGTTGAACGAGAGGTCATCCAAATGGTGCATTTGTGAGGATTTGGGCATATGGGGCCCGTGTCACCAGCAAACTTGTCTTGAGCCAGATTGGAGACACAAAAGCTTCAAACATCTTCAGATCTCATCCGGTTGAAGAAGTTTCTTTGATCCTTCTCACCACAGAAGAAGGTCATTGAGTCATTGACATTGAGTCGTGAATCTAAGACCCTTCAGAACTGGCGGAGTGAAATATGCCTAGAAACCGAGAAGAACGCGCGGCGAAAAACGACCTTGGACTCTTCCCTGCCTTGCGGAACTCTTGTCGAGATATTCCTCCATCCCCGTCCTGGCGACTCAGCTGAAAAAGAACTTAAAGGCAAACAAAGGGCGACTCTGGTCCTTGCCTTTCGCCAGACATCTCCTATTCTCTAAGAGTTGATAGACGACTCTGCGCAAATCCAAGGTGCTATGGATCACCAAGAGGAGGGGGGTGGAACAGGATGGAACAGGCTTCCTATGGCCACATCAAATGGACACCACGATGATGTTTCTGACACTTCTGACAAGCTTCAGAACTTTTGTGCCTTGGCACATCCCAACACATCCCAAGTCTCGACGAGACCGTCCGTGTCGAAGCATCGCCACAAATGCTCCAGCTGTTCGGCTCGCAAGGTGGGCCTGGGATGTCCGATCCCCCGGCTGGCCAGTTTCAGAAAGCGCTCATGCTTCGGAAGAAACAGGGAAGGAAAAAGAAAAGCCTGAAGGTCCAAACCCAAAGGTACTGAGCAAATACAAAAAACACATAAACGCATTTCAATTTCAATCGTTCTCGTATTGTTGGTACCTGAGGGGTTTTCAATTCCCATGCTAACCTACATGCGTTCAGCTCACTTTAGGGAAATTGGACGTCACTGTCACTGCACGTGTATCCTTTTCTTTGGGACTTTTAGATCCTTCCTCTCGTCCATCCTTCCTTTACTCTTGACAAACAACACTTGCTTGACACTCCCATGATCTCCCATGTTCGGTGCACTTTCGCCCTTCAAGCTGTTCTTTCGTACTTGAGGCTCCCAACTCCAAGCTGGAGAAGAGCGCCTGGAAATCAGGCCAATGCACCGTGTCCTGGGACATCGAGCTCGGCGCCGGGACTCGAGTCCGGCGTCGGGGACGTCGATCGTAAACCAGAGGTGATACGATTGGCGGAGGTGTTTGGGCCCCTGCCGATGAACGCACCGACCTTCCATTGGGGTCTACGGAAGTACTTTGCTTTGATCGTCGAAGTTTGTTCGTCCATTCACAGCTGCGCGGTGTTCTTTCATCCATTCTTGCGCCCGCCCGCCTTCACTCCGGCTAAGGCGTTGAAGAGCTCATCCACCTGAGAGGTGGCAGCGTTCCGTGTTCATCTGCGTACGAACGAAAACAAGAGGAAACCATGGCCGTTCGTTTGGATGCATGGCACGTGTTGTCTTTCAAATCGCTTCCAAATGGACAAAACATGACCAGTTCATGGGTTTTACCCGTCCAGGCGGCTGAGCTGGGAGATTGTTCGAAGCTTCAAAGCAGTGTCCAATCACACCTGGGACACTGGCTGTCTTTCCTTCACGTCGCAAGGCACTGTTGACACCTCAGATGACGCAACACATATATACACATATCCTATTTGTGATGAGTGAACGCTGGATTTAGCCATTTACCCAGCACGAAGTGACACGATGTGAATAAACTTCAGAATTTCCACTAAAATCTCTGACCTATGTGCTGTTCTCTAGTTCATGTGGAAGGAGCATAGCCTATGTTGGCGGCTCTAATCAGGCTTTTAGTGGTGCCGACCTTGCACTGAAAGAGTGTTTCTAAAAGAACATCACTTAGCATCAAGCAGCAGTCCATACTAGTCTGCTCATTTTTCCATGCCCTTCCTAGATTCACAAGCAAGCTGCCAGTGTCCCAAAATCAGAGCGCGCAAGGTTCTTGTAAGTATATCGGTTCTTCCCCACTTGAACCTACGATACAACTCGCAAACCTGTCAGCTGTCTTCCTAGCGCGCCAACATTCTCTGTCCCGGAACTGCGCGACCGAAGACTGACATGGCAGTGGGCACCGGAGAAACCCTGGTGGAACGTCGAATCGACGAACGAACACCGAATCGTCCACCCCACGTACGTACCACTCCGCCCGTGTTGCCGGGTGCCGGCCGGGGTGGTTCTGACTCCTTTCAACTCCACATGTCCTAAAAAAGCCCTCAACAAAAATCCTTTCAACTCAGAGGACATGTCCCAAACACCTTTCAACTCCTCGCCTCCCCCCCCGTCGTCCGCTGACCTGGGCACCCGACGGGCACAGATCGCCTCGGTCACGGCCTTGGAGGCCGAGTCCACCTCGGCCAAGCGCCGAGTGAACTCCTGGCCGGTGAAGTGCTTCCGCTTCGAAGGCACTTGGGGTGGGGGAGACAAAGAATGGGTCCAAGCCGCGAGCCACCGAACAAAAAGGATGCAGAACGACCGAAATCTCTCATGCCAATCACCTCTTCTGGGTCCTCCCTGAGCTCCATCCAGCTACCTCCGTCAGAAGCTTCGCACACCCTACGGTTCGTCCCTGCTTCCGCCGGCACGAGGATCTCCGTCCTCCTTGGAGACGCTGCCGTCGCCGTTCTTGTCGAAGCTGTACCACAACTCTTGC